AAAAATCTATATAATCAACAAAAAGAAAGACTAGTAAGAGCTAAAGATCAAAAAAAAAGCAAAAAAAAATATATACCACAAGAATATCAAAAAAAGCTAGAAAGAACCAAATGAAAGTTGACAAAAAAAATACTATAATTGCTAGAAGAATGAGAAAAACCAAAAAATTGCAACAAAGACCACAAGAGAAGCTAAAAGATCTACATAATCGACAAAGAGTAAGAGCTAAAGATCAAATCATTATCTTTTTATCTTTAATAAAGACAGCTTAGGACAAAAAAAAATTAAAAAAAAATACATACCACAAAAATTATCAAGAAAAGCTGGGAAGAACCAAACGAAAGTCAACAAAAAAAAATATTATAATCATTGGAAGAATAAGAAAAGCCAGAAAATTGCCACAAAGACCACAAGAGAAGCCAAAAGATCTATATAATTGACAAAGAGAAAGACTGGTAAAGACTAAAAATTAAAAAAAAAACAAAAAAAATTAAATAAGTAACTTACATATTACTAGTAAAGATCTCTGCAAACCCAATAATCTAGAGATCTTTGCAAATCTGAATAATTTTATTGTAGCTAATTACAAGTTATAAAACTTTTTTTTTAAATACTTCGATAATAATAAAGTTTTAGTAAAAAATAAAATACGATGATAATAGAGTTTAAAAAAGTAAAATACGATATACTTAATATAAGTGTTATATTATATATTACATACGTACATAAAATTATCAGCAATTCATTAGATTTACTAAAAATAATTAGATTCAATTTGTGTTACAATTAGATGCTCAAACTCGATAATTGAGTTTTACTCGATTTTGCCAAGCACTAGTTTAAAATTTTGTTAGTATTTCGAGTTTTTATATTTTTTTTATATATAGTAATATTCATTTTTAATTTAGTTATAACTACATAGATATTAAAAACAGTTTGCAGAAAAAAATATACAAGATATTCAAAATAGATTTAATTATAATTTAATATATAAATCATATTGTTTAATAAAATATAGGATGGTATTATTTAATAGTATAAACTATATATTGTATTAAATAATTGTAAGGACAGTAATAATTAAATAGAATATAGTTATTATTTAGAAATTTAGTAAAAAATAAAACTTTTACTAATAGTTTTGCTAATATTAAGCTATTTGTATATAAAATTTTTTGATCAATTTGATTGGTTAATATCATGTACTATAAAATCTAAAATCTATTGATCAATATCTTTATACTATAAAAGATACAATTTTTAATATTTATTTTTGGTAAATTTCCTGACTGAATCTACCAAGTAAGCTATAGGATCTGAACCCTATAAATATATATAGTAAATACATACCTTTTTATATAGTATAGTATATATTTGTTTTTTTTCTAATATAGTACTTAAATATAATTATATCTCTAGGATATTTTATTCTACAAAATACAATATATATATATATATATTTTTTTTTGCAACTATCGGCAGCCTCGCTGGTATCTTTATTAGATCAAAGCATATGTATGTACATACAATTAACTATCTAAGTTACAGATCTGACATCTCTCAGCTGCTCCAAGAGGTGCCCAAGAGCGGTCTGCTATACCGGATAAGACTTTTGTCTATACTGGAGAGCTATACCAAGCTAGCTATTGAAACCATATCAGAATGGCTTCACTCTATTTTTATGAAAATTTTTAACTGATGATAACCAAGATTTTTTTTTTTGTTTTTCCTCCTCTTTAACATTACTTGTTTCTTTCTTTTTAATCTTCTCCCCTAGTTTGGTCTTGGTTTGAGGTAAAATCATCTAAAAATTCTTGTGCCTGTTCTGTGCTGAGTCTTGGTTCTTTTGTTTCTGGTTTCTTCTTCCTCTTCAGCTTTGTATCGATTCCTTCTTTCTTCTCCTACTCATTAACTGCTAGGCATCTTTGCTTCTATATGTTCTCATAAAAGAAATTCTATGCTAGGCTTATCGTGGATTCAAGATAATTCTTTGCTTTCTTCAGAGGTTTTATGATATTCAGGATCTTTCTAAAAGTATTCTCTTGAATTAAGCCTTTAAGAATACTATTTCTTGTTCTGCTTTTTTCTTCTTTCGATGTATCTCAGAACAAGGTCTTAAGATTTACTTTGTCGAGTTGATCTCTTGTTTCTCTTGAAGATTCGCCCAGGCTATACAGAGGGTGATCAAAATTTACCAAATGATTTGTTCGTGCTACAATAAAATTTTTTTGCACATATTAACCTCCCAAAATTTACCCCAATTTAGAATGCTGGAGATGATCTTGTCATATGAATATATGCATTGATACTCAACCCTGCATATTTCTTTAAAAAATCTAGTTAACGTAATACCAATTTTAAAAAAATGCCTTTTCGTGTCAGCAAAAATAAACTACCCTTTTTACAAGTTTAAAAGTGATACCAATAGAATGAGATCAACTATCTGAACACGATAATATTTATTTTTTTGGTGATTAAATTACAAATAAGGTTCTAATGACTATCAACTTAAAAACTTTCGCTTAAGGCTTTTATTATAGGATTAAAGGTATAGTTTTAATATTAGCAAATGTTTTAAGACTAAATTATTTTAAAATTTTATAAGGAACATTTTTTATTAATGTGCAGTAGGTAGCTTTATAAGCAATATTTCAAGTTATACTCATTTTTTGTATTGTATAAAGCCTTTACGTATACTTTCTCATATTGTACCTGATTTAAACTCTTATCAGCCGACTAAATTTTTTAAGGTAGTAATATTAGAGTAACTACCACAAGGCATATTAAATAAATAAACTGTTGGTTTAATTAAACTAAAAGTTTTTTTATTTACTTTTTTTTGTTTGCTACTTTTATATTTATTTTATTCTATATACTTTTTTTATCTTTTTATATTTATTTTATATTTATTCAATTCTTTTATATCTTTTATTATTGTTTTCTTTTATATTTATTTATTTGATTCTTTTACTTTATAATTGCCTTTTTTTATATTTATTTTTTAGCTCCTTTATTCTCTTTAAAATCCAGGTATCACTTCACAAGGACAAAGTGGAGGAATATGAAATTTGACTGAGGCATGATCTCGAGTATAAAAAAAATAACTTTTTGAATTTTGTTCACAATACGTAACACTATCAATTTCGACTTAGGAAATTTCAACTTTTGTTTCGATTAAATACTTTCAGGATTGCTAAAACTAAGCCTTTTTTTTTCATTTATTAAATTTATTTTAACTTTTTTATAATTGAATCTATCTATTTTAGGTTCTTCACACCATCAAGTTATTATTGGGCATCTTGGTAAGATTATTTTAGTTCACTCTTTTGAATTAGATCTATTTCTCATTTTAATTCTGAACTGGGTGTCCGGATATTATATACAGTATATCGGTCTTGATTATGAAAGCTTTGTGTGATTATGCGTCTTGGATCCTGGATCAGTAGGTTGCAAACAGAGACCAGAAAATTTTGGATTTTATTTATATGAACTTTAAATCCTATAAATAAAATCTAAAATTTTCTGGGTCTCTGGTTGCAAAATAGACAGTTTTTACAAATATCGTATAGTACTACATATAGTACTCTCAAAATAGTATCCCCATTTTTTGACAAGCAATTTGTGGCTCAATTTTATTATTAAAAACACAATTATTTCATTTGGTTTGATACGTCTAATAGCAAGATATACATTAACCAGTAACAATGATTTGTATTATCCTCTTATCTCTCAATATTTTGGGTATTATTCAATCTAGACTGGCTTTCTTGAATAGTACTTGGGGTACTTTATGCAGCGCTATATAGTAGCACTATTAACTAAAACAGCCAAAATTAGTCTATCCTGATACTAATGCTAATTCTAACCATCATACAATCTATAGGAACTGTCTATAGATTATGCACTGTTGGGTTATGTTTGATCACATTACAACTATAGTTATTTGTATCTGCAACACCAGGGTTTGGCAAGTACAGGTATATTAATTTTAAAAATAGCACTTATGTTAATAGTAACATATAGAAATAAAGTATAAAATAAAAAAAGATCCTACCTAATACTATAATCATTTTATTAGACTAAAATTACGTCAAAACTAAGTTCTTATTTGTTAACCTATAGTATATAATAGTTAAAGTTATTTAAATTGTAATATAGCAGATCGTCTATTTTATAATATTAATTAGTACACACCAATCATAATAACTCATTATAACTATAAAGTTTAATAAATTAAAATTTAACTTACTATATCCGACAGTAAATCTGAAATATTATAATACTATGAACTAAATTAAAATAAAAATTCTATAAAAAAAGGAAAGAACTTTGAAAAATAATTCTAATCTTTAAGGTTTTTATAATTCAATAGCAAAGAAAAAAAAATTAACCACTTTACAACATAGTAGGATCTTGTATAGTCGCAATCGTGGTGAATCATATTCAACTATCGCTAGAAATATTAAATGTGGAAAGACTACAGTTCATAATATCTTAAAACGTGCAGAAGCAGAAACTACCGTAGTGAAAAAATGTCTAGGCTGAAAGCCTATTTTTGACACACCTGCACTAAAAGAACTTAAAAAACTTGTTATACAAGATACTAATTGGGGTGTCCAATGTACTATATAAATCAAATATATGTATAGTCTCATATGAAAATTACTATTGGATTTTTTTTTTAATGATCATTTATAATATAAGTTTTATTGATATTTAAAGTCTATTCATACATATTTATATATTTTATTACTTGAATAAAATTCTAACGTTTAAATTTACATAATTCTAGAAATATTTTAGTCACTTCTTCCTTTCCATGAGTTTCCACACTATCTTGTACTATTTCTTTCAATGATTTTTTACATTTTATACGAACTTTCGTAAGTCCTGAAGCAATATTTTCTCTATTAATATTTTCAGATGAAAGTTGTAATTTTGATTGCTTCAGGTCTTGTGTCATATTTGGGTGAGTCTTTAAATCTAATTTATTAAAAAGTTCTTCTACTTGTTGTTGGTAGATTATAATAAAGTAAATTCGTTCTTTAATGAATTTATATAATAATAGATATTCGTAAATTTTAGAATTCAAATTGGAACAAAATTTCTCAAACTCATTTTTGAATTCTAAGGAGCTTAATAATTCTTCCTGAAGGCCGAAAGTATTATTAGTTGACTCAAAATCATCACGCAATTGTTGTGCTAAATTTATTTCATCTTCTGTTGGTTCCAGAAGCCACTGCTAAAAAACAACATAGTAGAATGCCCGTGCAAATTCATGGCTAGAATTTCCACCTAAGCGGCAAATTGATAAGGGTAAATGTACCCATGGGACATCTATTTTAGAAAACTGTCATATGCCTTGTTCATTTCTCATTCCAAAGTATCAAAGAACTCACTAAAGTCTTTATTATTTAGTGATTCAAGTGCTATTAGCAGTTCTTGCCCAAAGAATGTATCGAAATTTTCCTTGAGTTCATTAAAAAACTTTATCCACTTATTCACCTTATCAGGCATTTCATGAGCACATCGACCTGGTGGAAGTTGAACCAAATGGTCGTTTACTTGAATACGAGATATAGGATCCTTTCCAACCATAAACTGCATCAATAGTTCGTATAAGTGTTCGCCGAATGTAACCAAACACTGAACTTGAATATTTAGTTTTTTATTTAAAAGCCAATCCTGAAATAAACGCCTAGAAAGTAAGTATAAAAAAATTTATTAGCAAATATATTTAAAGTAAAAAATGGTATATACTCATAAATTTATAAATATTTAATTACTAATCTGAAAGATATGCAGCAGGTATATCTTGATTATTTTCAAGTTCTTCAATAAACCAATTTGCAAATTCTATATGTGCCTTACGTCAGTCTAAATATTGTTTTGCAGCAAGTAATTCATATTTCCAATGACCCCGAATTGGCAATTGGTATTGAGAAAAATGAAATCCTAATAGCCTATCGTATAATTTTTGAATCCAATTGGATTTCATATTTAAAGGGCTTCCTCTATTACTTGAGTTATACCCATCGTGAAGATACCAAGCCAAGTATAGAAGGTTATATAGTTGTGGAGTTCGTGAAAATCCAACCGAAGAAGGTAATTTGCCGAATACGTCTTCAAAATTTGAAAAAACAATATGCATAATATGCATTCTACAACCAATTCTGACTGTATCTACATTTGCCTTTTTATTAAATTGAACAATTGCACCTTTTTTATTACCTGACATATAGGCTATATTGTCCGTTACCCATGCCTGACATTTTTTTGGATCAAGTCCATGATCCATAATTGTTTTAAAAGTGGTATCAGCTACTGATTTGCCAGTGCAATTATTTAAATTCTCAAGATTGATTACAAAAACTGATGGCATATTCTTTTTATGATCCTAGAACATAATACATACTACAAAATACTTATTTTCTCCACGGGTTGATTCATCCATGAGGATCCCATATCGTAAGCATTTTGTAGCCTCATATATTTCAATTTCAGTTTCAATTTATGAAACTTCTTTATGCCAAGTACTAAGGGTTATTACGGATAACCATTTTTGTAGAGGCTCTCCGATTAAGAATTCATAAACCAGTCGCAGTGATTCAGCGGTCGCAGTTAATGAGGTTTGTCCAACTTGCGAAATTTTGGTCAAAAGCCAAACCAAATTAGGGAAGTATTCTCTATTATTTGTTTTAAATAACATGTTGATTTGGCGCTTGAATTCATCAGGAGATAACTGCTTCGATTTTCGTATCAATGTTCGGATGGTAGAAATTCAGTTTTTAACTTTGGTTTGAAGATGTTGATTTGAACTACCTGGTAAAGTGCGAATTATTTTAATTTATTGTTTGATATTTACTATACGAATCACATAATCTAACAAAATTTTTAT